CCACAGCCTAAAGACCAAGGGCAGAGAATGGCAGGGTCTTTTGCAACTTCTTATCAAACATATTGTTGATTAGAAGCAGCTATAAACAGCAGCTGTGCTGAAAGAGAGCTGCTTTGTTTACGCTTGTATTTTCTACAATCTAGTTCTTCTTTCCCATTCTGAATGACAAATACAGACACTGCCACCTGCTGGTAAGCTGAATTATATCTTTTACGTAGGTGCAAAACTTAAGTGCATGTCGGCCACTGGCTGTAATCTGTGTGGTTTTTCAATCCAGTTGGCCCGGACAAAGGTGACATGAATTGATGGAACAGCCGGACTTCATCACTGCTAGTTCTTTCATGTTGGCTTGGCGTGCCCTTACCTCAGTTAACCAGGTCCCATTCCTTCCTCTCCGTTACCCCTTACATTGACTCCCTGACTTGCTTTTCGAATTGAACTGGATTTTAATGCAAACTACATATGCAAACAACATTATACTGTATAGAAAATAATAAGAGTATCTGACCAAATAATTATTAAGTTAATAATTAAAAAAATGTTAGGCTGACTACCCAGCAACTGAGAGACATCACTGACTGTATAAATATAGAAGACTTGCCACTATTTCCTTCTTCTATACAAAAGTGAATCCATATTTTGTGGCCACGGTGGCTGCCATCTTGGCATTTTGCAACCAGAACCTGCTCAGTAGTGACTAAATAGTTGAGTCACATATCAGGCTGCCAATCGCAGCTGTCAAACCAACTGAAATACATCCTTTTTACATGATCAAATAAGTTATTAAAAACAACCTTACCAGAAAACTCACCACTTGTACACACTTTCATGTGATACTATCTACCAAAAAAAAACAACAACATAGAAATCACCTTGAGGAAAATTCCTTGAGCTTCTAATTTGGTTCATGTCCCCCATCCACTAACATGGAGGAAGTGGAGTTTATAACCTGTACTGCAACCAGCCACCAGGGAGCAATTGAGTTGTGGTGGCTTCACTTCTGGGAGCTGTCATGGTGTCCATATTTTATACAGTCTATGGGAGAGATTCACAGGGGCAAGAGAAACAGGCGGAGGTCTTCCCAGCAGCAGTTATTGGCTCAATTGAAGTAGATGAGCAGCTGAGGGCCTCTTCAGCAGCAGTCATTATGGTTTGAGGTAGACAGTGAGGTGTGATGTCCTTTCGGTACCAGAATGAAGTTGAGATGTAATGGATGGAAATGACAAGTTACCTTGGTTACAGAGACCTAAGTGTGATGAGGTGAAGGGAGAGGTTGGGTCAACTTGGTCAGCAGGGACTGATGTGGATGGAGAGGCTGGACTCCCATTCATGAGAGAACCTGTTAGAATATGGAAGAGGCAAACACTAATGTAAGTGTGCCTACACTCAGTGAATAAATATGTATCTAACGTATACCAGCACAATATGTAATAGCATTTATTTCAGTTTTACTCTGAGTCCCTTCTGGATGTCCGAGGTCCATCCTATTTCTAATCAGATTTTACTTAACTTTACTTAAGTAAAAGTAGCAATAGCACAGTATAAAAATACCCTGCTACATGTCCTGCATTCAAAATGCTAATTAAGTAAAAGTACAAGGTATAAAAATGAAACATTTTGTATTAATCTGGTTCTGGAAAGTAACTTGTAACTAAACTTATCAAATAAATTTTGTGCAATAAAGTATATAATTTTCCTGTAAAATGTAATTAAGTCAAAGTATGAAGTAGCACAAAATAAAAACACTCAAGTAAAGTACAGATATCTGCTCATTAGACAGTAGTCTGCTCATTAGACCATTTAACATTATGCATCATTTGTTTTGTTGGTTTGCACTTAAAGGCGACTAGCCAGTGAATAGCGTAGTGTCAAATTGAAAGCTATGTATAGAAGAAACTAAGATACTTAAAAAATTTGAATAACAAATGAAGATGAAGTGATGTGAGGTTAAACAAATATAACACAGTATTTCTAACATGAACTATTGAAATAGAAATCTGTAAATATTGTATACTTTCTCCTCTTCCTTCCTTTCTAGCTTATTGCTAGAAAAGTCTTAAAAAAAGATATTTTTTATCAGATGATATTCAGCTTGTCAGATTTGGCCTGCTAGTGGTTTCTGTAGTAGCAGCCATACAACACTAGAACAGATCATGGAACGCAGATGTCTTTTCTACCCCAAAGGGCAACATTGGCTGGCATCAGCTTGTTGTTTTTACACTTTCATTCTTTCAGCTCATTCCTGGAGCTGCAACACATACTGTATTTTAGATTTGCAGCCCACATGAGTTGAACAGGCATGTTGAGTGAGTATCAGTGTCAGGCAGCAACTATGTGCCTCTGCTGCTGCTGCTGCTGCTACCACTGCTGCCGCTTTGCTCAAATCTACTTTAAGTTCATTTGTTGCAGCACCAGTTGTCGCACAGTAGGTGGAAGTTAACACTTGGCTGGATGCTGTCCAACCAATATGTGGCCATTTCTTTTACCTCATAATTGCTGTTCCATAGTGACATGTCACAGTTGATCTGCTATTACAGGCCATATACTCTATGCTCTAATACTGAGGTCTCTTAGGTTGTTTTAGAAACTCAGCAGTATCTGTAATAGACCCTGTTTAGCTTTAACTGAAGGGAACTAAGAAATGAGGCATAAAAAGTGTACAACTCAGAATTTCTGCTCTGACATAAGTCTTTAAAGTTTGAAATGCTCTTATCTTTTAATCTTTCTTTCCAGCAATTTGCTTTTCTTTGATGTTGTAATAAATTAACCATTAACTAGCATATTATTCAAATGAAAAGTATCTGGTCCTTCTCAATCTCTCTCTCTCTCTCTCTCTCTCTTTCTCACACACACACACACACACACACACACACACACTTTTTCTGTCTTTGTGAAGACATTCATTGACATAATGCATTCCCTAGCCCCTTATCCTAGCCTTAACCATTGGAACTAAATGCCTAACCATAACCCCTAACCTAACACCAACCTAAACCAAATTCTAACCTGAACCCTAAAACCAAGTCTTAATCCTCAAAGATGTGTTTCAGAAAGTGAGTACTGGCAAAATGTCCTCACTTTTTAAAAATGTCCTTGCTCTGTAGCACAAAAAAAGTACAAGAACACACACACACACACACACACACATTTATACATTCAATGATATGTATACAGGGCCCAGGGTCTGTGTGAAGTTTGCATGTTCACCCTGTGCCTGTGTGGGTTCTCTCCGGGTACTCTGGCATACTCCCACAGTCCAGAGACATGTGGCTTAGGTTGACTGGCAACTCTAAATTGTTTGTAGGAGTGAGTATGTGGTCGTCTTTCTCTAAGTGTCAGCCCTGTGATAGACCGACGACCTGTCCAGGGTGTACCCCGCCTTTTGCCCAATGTCAGCTGGGACTGGCTCCAGCCCCCTGTGACCCTACTCAGGAATAAGTGGTATAGATAATGGATGGATGGCTCATACACAATAATGCAATATCTTTTTTTTTTTTTACCTTATCCTTAACCATCAGAACCAAAAGCCAAACCCCAACCCCACCCTGCAGCTAATTCTACCTGTAATCCTGAACAAGCAAGCCATAACTCTCAGACAGGCCTCTGAAGGTGTGTGAGAAAGAAGACTAACCAAAATGTTCTTACTTTCCCAAAATGTCCTCACTCTTGTGGTATAAAACACAAGCTGGTCCTCACAATGTACAATCATGAAAAACCAAGTTAAATGCTGTTTAAATATGTGGGTGCTGAATCCTCAATCAATAAGTAAATAAACTGTAGAGTAATAACAGCACTCCAATCTATGACTATTTATTCTTTCACTGTATGATAATGATAATCAAGAATGTTACACACACACAAGGAATTTGTCTCTGGTACAGAACCAAGCCAGCCATCTGCAGCACCAACTCACTCTCACACACACACAGACACACATGGCAGCGTTGTCCTTGCAAGGCACTGCTCTGGCCATCAGGAGCAGCTTGGTGTTGAGTGTCTTGCCCAGGGACACTTCAACATGTAGACAGCGGAGAACAGGAATTGACCTTCCAGTTGGGGGATCACCACTCTACCTCCTGAATCACAGCTGCCCCATGGCTGTCTCAGGCAGATGCCCTTCCTCAGTGTGCAAGACAGCAATAATACTGCACCTGAGCACAAGTGAACTAAATGACACAATCAAGAGCAACAGTACAAATTGAATTCCTTGTTCAGACCAAACGGCATTAAAGGGCATTAAAGTGTCCAAATAATTAATCTAGAAACATCCCTTTTTGTAGTACACTTTTTCTCAGTTGCCTCCATGCCAAGGAAGATGAACAGCCTCAATGCACATAAAACAAAAGTCAGTGGCTGCATGTCCAAAGGCACTAAAATGCCTGGCCATAGAAGACTTCTCATCATGATTCCTGATAGAATATTTATGTTCATAAATATGAATTTTTGCTGTCTTTCTGCTGTCTTGCATAAATGTATTCCTCTTCTCCATAAAATCATAAAACAAAGCTCTGAGCTATCAATCTAAGACGGACAATTATCACCTGGAACACAATTTTAGACCTTGGCTTATAGAATAGTGGCAGTTTCAGATACTGACTACCGACACAAGATATTTTGTGAATAATCTAGTAATAATATCCAGAGAAACTAATACCGATTAAGTTGGTTCTTTTTGAAGCACACAGCAATTCTATTGCTAAAAGTAAGTCATAAACTGTTTCACTAAATATAGCTTCCACTTTGGGAGCAAAGTTGATCAGATTTTTATAATGCATATTTAAATGTGTTTTTTTGGATTGTATAATCACAGTGAAGGGTCAGTAATGCTGCATTTCTCTCATAACAAAGGATGCATGCATCACCATAGAAAGCACTGAAGCATATCTGGAAAATAAAGTCTTATCGGGAGCAGATCATGACCCTAGTACTTTTTCAAACAAAATCTGCTGAACAGTTCTACTTCATTGAATCCTTTATTGTGCAAAGTGAGAGGCAATACAAGAAACAACCAAACTTCCAAGGCTGACTATAACTACAATGGTGTAGTTACAGTGTATGGTTTGTGCCATAGGCAACTGAGCCACCAGCAGAGTACAGAATTTGCCCTTTTAGAGCATTTTTCTAGTCTGAACCTTTAAGTCTATGTGTGCCACCAGTCTGCAACCTTTCTTCCTCTCTGTCCAGCATTCATGTGTAACAGGTCTTATTAGATTCTTGATTATAGACAACAGCAGTCAAGAGGGAAAGCATCTGTTTCACAGCTTGCGGGTGGTCTGTTTAACCCAGCTGTCTTCTCTTAGACTCCCTGAACAGAGCTTTATTTAAAGGAGACATGTGCACTTGTAAATAAATGAAAATCAAAGTATCTGGTTTGGGTATCATGTCACTGTGGAATACATTTTTACTTAAGAATAAGTAGCAACAAATATAATATTTTGAGTAGATTTAACCAGAAAATAATATTCAAGTTGTGTAACAAGGTATTACCTTTGCAAACCCATAGAGTACCAGATAGAATACCTTACCATGCTTTCCTTTATAAGGTTGTAAAATTCTGCTTCAAAAGAGTACAGACTGTTGATATTTTAAAATTTGATAAGCCTTCAAACTGGACTCACTAGTTTGTATTTATTCTTTACCTGAACTAAGTAGCAACTTGGGCACAATACTACACCAGTAGTTTTTTTTTGTTGTGCTACCAAATCTGTTTGACAGTGGTCTCCCACCACAGTGCCTTATACAACAGGCTCTAAATGAATGCAGTGGAATTCTTTTGTTAACAGTGCAGCACAAAAGGCATGCTTCCTCCCAATGAGACCGCTGCTTTGTAACAGCTGACAATCTTGCAAATGGCCAGTTTGTTGGCCAAATACAGCATGTGAAACTGTCCCCTTTTTAGGTAACATTTGAGAAAAATATTGTTTAATTGTTTGGTAAATCCTACCCCAAAGTTAAATAAAGAGCCAAAGTAAAACTGGGGCATATTCTCTATCAGAATTAGGACATGCGCATTAAAAATTATGCTGACATTGTTATGATCCATAAAACCCAGCCTTGCTCAACAGTGTCTCATGTACTTCATTTGTCTTAGCTAAATAACAGGCCACAAACAACTTAAATATCAGCAGCTCAACAAAACGTACTGGTCAAATTGTGAAGTTATGTGAATGAACAGGGAAATTTGATTGTTCAGATTTTGTATGAACATTGGGGTGAAGGTTTCAAATCCTATTAAGTGCAGCAATATAAATTTTATTGTATTTATATTTATTAGAACATGAATAGTAGATATGGATGTGATACTCAAGTCCAGGACTCTGACTGAAGTCCAACTCAAACCCATATTTTCAGGATTTGGACTTGGACTCGAGCATTGAATGAATTTGGACTCAAAGACTCAGACTTTTTTGTTTGTTTGTTTGTTTGTTTTGTAATAGGCTATTATAATTTGTCATAAGATACTGATATTAAAACCTGTTCGCCTGCACTGTGCTGTATCTGGCAGACTTCCACTGACACTCTGCCTTTCTAGAAATGATTTTTATGTATTAAATTGCCAAGCAATATGGCGAAGCAACACACTGTTAGAAAGTTTGGAATATAAAATTATGAGAGCTGTGTCAATTATGTTTAATGCAGACCTTGATGACTCTGATTCAGATAGCTGCGTCGACTCGGACTAGACTCAAATTATTCTTTGGTAACTCTGACTTGACTTGGACTCAGATACTGGGGGCTCAAGACTTGACTCAGACTTGAAGGTTAGTGACTGCCCGTGGAACATGTTTCAGTTTTTCAGAAAGACACGTTAAAGGCACATGAATCCACCATGCACAGCATAACAGACATGGAAGAGCAGCCAGAGTCCTTGTTTCTTTTTTTGTTTTTGTTTCTTTTTTTCCTTTCTTCTCTCCTTGTCAAATAACATCAAATCAAGTGTACTGTAAAATAAAGACAAGCTAAATAATGTTCACATCTAATTCTAATCCTACATCAGCCCCACAGAAAATAAATGAACATCTGAATTACTGCTTGTGGAAATACGTCCATCTTTCACGTACAGTATAAAACTATAACAGCCTGGAAATTAATGAGATTACTCTTCAGTTTTTGAATTGGCTCCGACATAATTTCATTAAGACTGAGGGTGTCACATTCTGGATAAATTGATCAGTTAACAAATTAATTAATGATCCCTTTGTTGAAACAGACCTTCTAGCATTCGAGACTGACCATACATACTGATAAGTGTCTGAAAGAATGAAGCCTGTGCCAGTTTCCTCATAACATTTTGCCAGGCTGCCATCAAGTACTCTGTGAATGAAATGGAACAATCCAAAAGGCAATTGTGACTTTGGTCATAGTGAAAAGCAGTCTCTTCCCCAAATTGATGTCATTTAACATTTTTTTAAAAACTCAAATCATTATTGTTTTGATGGAGTTTCAGATTCAGGGTTGTGTCGACTATTAAACTTAATAAATGTATTTTTTCTTTCTGTGACAATGTTCTCCAGGGTTCTGTGAGATCCTTTGTTGATCATATTGAGTCAGCAGAGGGAGCAGGAATAGCCTATTGTGCTACTGGTTAATCAAAATCTCATATTTGCTCGCATGAATCAAATATTTGTCAGACAGATGGAGTGATTGAAAATAGATAAAAGAATCCAACTTCACAGAAAGATCATTTCCTTTTCCTCTCAAAGAGATCCACTTCCTTCCTCTGACCTCATAAAATAGTACATTTCTTTAGAGCACATTCTTCTTCTTTCAGCGTTCTGGGGGCTGCTCAGTCATTTTTTGTTTTGTTTTGTTTCATTTGTTCACATGTTCATGTGCTCATGGGACAAAGACGACAAAATGGTGACATCTCTTCGAATACATTACATGAAATCTGTTGGAAAAAAGAATTGCCATTTTTATTTGTATTCATGTACAGTATGAACTACAGTCTCAGGTATCAATAGCTGAACATCATCCTCAGAGAAATTAATTGAACTCCTTACAAGCAGTCTTGTTTTTTTTCCTTTCTAGTTTTTATTTTGCTTTTTTGTCTGTTTTTTTAAACAATTGAAGCACATGTAAAATTATGATCTGAAGTTGTTTTTTTTTGCAATAGATTTTTGAAAATATTTTTGTAGAAATGTAACCATTTGATGACTATTCTCTCCAAAAATGAGAGAGAATGTTCCCACGTACAGTAACTCTCCCTATACATAGACAGTTGGCAGAATAACACACAAGAATTTGATCACCTTGGCTTAGGGTTTTACGCAAAAGTCATTTTCCCTCTGCTGGTATTTGTAGTCCAACATTCTGCACTTCAGATTTAATTTCTTTCTGGCATTCAAATAATTCTGAACATAAAGCCATCCTGCGTAAGCAAATACCAATACAGACATATTCCAGTCATTCTGAAAAACTCACCAGCCTCATTCCCAAATATATGTATATAAAAAAAAAAAAAAAAATCTCAACCTTTTTTTTCACTGCATCAACATTGAATCTTTAAGCCATCAAAAGCATTGAAAAGGAACTGAGCATCAAAAAACGAAAACATTGGAAAGGGAAAGAATGGTTCACTCACTGACATTACATTGACAGTACATGCCATTCATAACACTCAGTGAAAGGCTGACGGGAAATGTGGTTCAGCTTCAATAGTTCTTTCTCCATCTACAGGATCATCTGTCTCTACCTCGACAGACGTGACAGGTCTTTAAATGTACAATTAGCTTCCACTATCTTTGTTCACCATTCCCCCATTATTGTAGAAAATGAAATTTTAAAACTAGGTGACTGACTGACTGATCAGAAGTGTTTGGTTTTGTGAGTGATAGTGCTTTATAACGCTCATACTGTAAGTTATGACAGCTGTGTTTACAGAGATGAAAATCAGGTTAGAAGAGCTGCTGGGCAGTTAAATTGTTCAGCTTTTCAGATCATGGGGTGCTTTATTTCATTTAAATAACTGAAATAACGCACTGCTTTGCAAAGACTACACCGTGTGTGGGTTAAAGCCGATCAAACTTGTATGTAAATATTCCTTTATGCCAGTTTTGTCCACAATCATTTGGATTTGCGAGATCGCCAGTGGAGAATTAAAATATACTTGTTGCACAGAGACCAAAGCAAAAACCATATCTACCTCTTCTTACTTCCTGCACAAGGTCACTGTTTCCATGGCGACAGTCTGATGGCTAGTTTTGCCTCCTTTTTTCCTTATCTACTTTTTCACTCCTCTTCCTTCGTATGTGCAATATCTTTGTTTGAAAACCCCTCATGACTGTTAGGGGTCTGGTTCCCCCTAACCCACCCACTGTTCTTTACTTTTAATCCCTGCCTCCCCCTTCCTTAAGCCTTCTCTTTTAAAGACTAAATGAAAAAGTGAATTGCAGCCAGACAACAGGAGAGACAAGGTTTTGATGGTCTATAAATGATGCAACATCAAAGTGCATGTGTTTTTCTCTGACAAAAATGAGACTGAGCAGGGGTCGCTTCAATATCAAAGGCCTCTACCCCCTGTTAGATGTTAGGCACAGGGAGAGTGAAAAAGTCTCATACTGTTTTGTTATCAGTTTTCCTCTCTCTGTTAGTCTGCAAATGAACTGCTGATACAGATTAATGAGCTATAACCTATCTACCCTTATTTTGTTGGTTCCTAACTGCTTCACTGACTATGCTAGCCCCATCTGTGTTAGCCTGACAGGGTCACAGTACATTACCAAGCATCCTCATTTGCCTCTTTATCTGTACTAACAGATGGACTATCAGCGCCCGAGCTCCTGTGACCCCAGGATGATGGCAAGGTAACGCCACACTAAGTGGACGTAGATCATTACTGGGTTAACAGTTAGGCTACAGACCACAGCCTTATGCTCCCCTTTATTTTCCCCAAGCAATATTCTGCTGTCGTGTGGCACATGCCAGCAGATAGAATGAGACAAATGAGACATGGCGAGGGGCTGAGGAACGTGCCTGAGCTTAGTGACAGAGAGACAATTAAAGAAGCAAGAGAACACAGATGAAAAGAGTTTGGGGATAAAGCAGAGAGAGAGTAGGGAGGTAAGAGAATTTAGAGATGGTAGAAGAAAGAGTCAAAGGAAAGAAGTAGTAAACTGAGAGTAAAGAAAAGGTAGGAGGAGGAGCAGGAGCGGAAGTGTAATCTTAATTAAAGTGAAAGACGTATGGTTTTAGTTAGCCACAGGGGAAATGCACATTTCCTCATTTGGCTGCTTTGCTCCTCAGGCATGCTGGCTTCACTGCGATATTATCCAGAGCTGTGTCATTAAAGGATCTTGTTTAATGTTGAGTGACAGCTCGAATATGATGGCAATGAAAATAAATCAATTTTATGTTTTGTCCCACATAAACCTCAGCCAAATTGGACAAGATAGCTGGACAATTAGCAAATATATGTTTATAAATACAAAAACAATGTCCTTCTGCAAAATATAATATTACCATGGTAAAATCAAAGTACTAAATGAATGGCACTGCAGTCATTTTAGTGTAAGGGCAATTTTTAAAGAGGTTACACATGACACGTTAGACAGATCCCATATTCGCTTTTAGTAAATCATTCTTTCCCTTATGCAGTATTACACACACAGAGAGATAGAGAGAAACAAAAAGAGCTAAAAGCTATCACAAATTGTTTTGTTTATTTAGCCACTAGACATACTTTTAATAAATAATCTTTGTTTTTATAAAGACACTTGTTAAAGTATCATATGTCCTCCCTTTGCCAAATGCTGATTTATCACTATTATCAACACAAACTTTGTGAAGTCTGTGTCATTTAGATTTTTATTTATTTAATTATTTATTTATTTTTAATGTCACATTTTGGTCCATTGTACTCCAAGTATGAAACTGCTGATACTGGACATTTATTCAAATTCAGGATCAGATTTGAGTCTCTTGTACATTGTCTTTTGAGCAAGCTTGAATCAGTAAAGGTTCCTGTGTGGCTGAGCTGTGTATGGTACTGAGCATAGGAGTGTGGTGGTAAGTGCTCTTATAGGTGTTATAGTGGTTGTAGTGCTCCAGAGGGGGCAGCGATAGGTGTCTCTCCATGGCAGCGACACCTGCAAGCTCTTCTTCAACCGTAATGACCTCCATGGAGGAGGCAGGGCCATCGGGATCCTGCTGGTTATGCTGCTTCCTCATCTTGTAAAAGATAACCAGCAGAACAGCGGCCATAAGCGTGATGGCCACAAAGCAGCCAATAATAATCTTGGTGGTTTTCATCACCTCATCCAAGCCATTGAGAGCCCCCTCTCCATCCAGATCAAGAACTGGAATGGTGTAAGTCCGCTCTGTGGTCCTAGTTGAAACAGGAGTACTTTTTGTTGTTGAGGATGACACCCAGCCAAATGGGGGAAGTGGCGTTTGGCTCATGCTCTCAGTGGTCTCCACGGTGACAGTGGTAAAATAGGTCACCCCGCTGTTTTCCACAGAAGTGACATTAAGCACAGCAGAGGCAGAAATGTTGCCTGCTGTGTTACTAACCATACAGGTGTAAGTCCCAGTGTCCTGCAGTGTGACGCTAATGAAGTTCAGTGTGCCATCATTGAGTACAGACAGACGCACCTTATAAGCACCATGTGTCACCAACGAGCCATTTGGTGTAAGCCAGCTGATGGATGTCAGTGAGTTTGTACGACATTTAAGCTCTGCACCCATGCCTTCGGTCACATTCAAATCACTGGGTGGGTCCACAATGACAGGAACATCACACTGGAAGTAGCTGTGGTCCAATTCTCCAATGTAGCGACCTTTAAAGATTGCTGGACTATGGCAACGGGCGCAGCAGCTGGTGTTGGCAGGTACTGTCTCCTTCAGCCACCAGCTGAGCCACAGAATATCACAGTTGCAGTTCCAAGGGTTGTGATGGAGGTGGACCCTTTCCAGGCGATGTAATGGTGTGAAGAGGTCATGTGGTAGAAAAGTAAGGTTGTTGTGAGCCAGATTGAGCTCCACGAGTGACTGAAGGTCATCGAAGGAATTCCTCTCAATAGTTTGGATCTGGGCATGCATCATCCACAGCTTCTGGAGGTTCACTAGTCCTGTAAATGAACTAGGCTTGATAACAGAGAGTTGGTTTCCTGACATTTCCAGCTCTTCAAGCCTGACCAAAGGTAAAATGTTGGGGATCTCCTTGAGGTTACACATTCCCAGGTTCAGGTAACGCAGGTTGCTCAAGTCCTTGAAGGCTCCATCAGAAATGTAGGAGAGACGTTTAAGCTCACCTAGATCCAGCCTTCGAAGTGAGGGGACCCGGTTGAAGGCATAAGATGGTATACTTTCTATGGGGTTGTTTCGTAGCCATAATTCTTTCAGCTTGGACAAGTACTCAAATGCTCCATTGGGGATTGTCGTGAGTCGATTATCAAAGAGCTCCAAGGTGTTGAGACTAGCCAGCCCATTAAAGGCGCCAATTTCAATACTACGTATGTGGTTCTTGCTCAGCTGCAGGATCTCCAGATGCCGCAGATGTTTAAAACTGTCCACCTTGATGACCTGGATGAGGTTGTCCTGGAGGTTCAAGTAGCGAGTGTTGGTGGAAATGCCATCTGGGACATCCCGTAGACTACGGCGGGTGCATATGACTTTGCTGAACTGGTTACTGCATGAGCAGACAGAAGGACAGGTCTGAGCACGTACCAGCCCAGCAACGACCAGGATCTGAAGAGCCAAAAGCAGCACAAAGAGGGGGTTGGACAGCGCCCCCTTTAGCCTACGACCTCTCATTGTCTGGCACTGGAGGGAGGAGATCATTGTGTTCAGCATTCATAGTTCATCTACTGTTTTGGTTCTCTGCAACAAGAATAAAAAGGAAAAAAAATGAGTAACCACATAAGGTAGACATGAATACACTGTTAATGTTTCTGTAGTGAGTTTAGGTATCATTGGTTGACAGAAAATTAACAGAACAAAAACATCTGTTAACATCTGCTTCTCAGATGTGAACGATTCCTGCTTTTACATGTTTTATATGATTGTAAATCAAATAGCCCTGGGTTTTGGACTGGTGGTCAGATAAATTATTTTTTACATGTAAATTGGAATTATGGGAAAGTTATATTTTTATTGTCATAATATAGACAAAACAATTAATCGCAAAACTTACAGCAGATTCACTGATAATAAACATAATCATTACTTGTAGCCCTGACCTGCATATATTGTACATTACAATGAGCCAGAATAACAAATGAACAAGAGCAAGATGACTTAGCAGCTTCAGTTATTGTTAGTATTGTTCATCTGTGGAATATAGCACACTTTTTGTTAGCCCGCTAACCACGGATTGTCCCAGATTTTCAGATTTCATAAAAACTGAAAACAGAAAATGAAAAGTGAGAACTTAGCATCTGCCTCCCATTTCAGCAGAATCTGTGAATTTCTTGTAAGCCCCTTACTCATTGAAATCCACAGTCTAGAATTTTTAAATACACAAAGTCTTAGTCATGAACATGTTAATGGTAACAGTGCTATCTGTTGATGTTTCTGGGCACTGTCACTGACACCAAAGCATTATGTTCTATGAATGATTCCCTGCACTGCCACAAATACTGTCCCAAGGCTAATGAGATTTTTGTACAGAATGTCTGTCCATGCAAAAAAATCAATGCACAAAGCAAGTGCAAGGTGTGAAACACATACACTGGAAGACAGAGAAAATCCCACTATGCTCGCCTGAATCTGAGCTATGGCTCATATGCTGATATAAAACACAACACTACATTAACAATGTTAGTGATAAATGTTATCCAGTGAGGGAACACTGAGGGTTATTTTTCACTATTTCAGCACTTTACTGGCATATTATATAGCCTGTTTGTTGCCTTTCAAATATTTTATGTGATTCCTTTCCTGGGCTTTAAAAAGCAGCATTTTTCACTGATTCATGATTAATGCTTTTCCTAGTCAAAGCAGTATTGAAATGCTGTTTACGTTTTATTACAATCCAATTTATTGTCACATCAAAATCCCCGACAAATGTCATGATTCTAAAGTATGGTCGTCCATAACTATAGCAGAATTCATGACCATGCAAATCAAGTGACTAACAAGAAACTTGTTACTGTGTTATCATAGATTAGATTAGCCTGACCACACAAAGTGTCAAGGAAAATGCCAGAGTGTGCTCAGTGTGTACTGTACTGTACAATCCATACCTCCGTCTTCCACATGGCAGCGTTAACGCGTTGCTATCATCTCTTATTAGCTTCTTCTCATTAAGATGGTAACCTGCATGTAAATCATTACATACTGTATACCAAACATCACATATGGTGTAAAATTATAAAATGTGATAGTACTTTGTGAAGCTGTGCTAAATAATGCAGACACCATTCTTCAGTGCAGTTAATGCCTTTGCCAAGAGCAAAGCACTTTTGCGTATTGCAAAGAACATTAACCTTGCCTACTGGGCCCTTAGATTTAAGTATTCTCCTAGTCTCCTTCCAACTCAAGTTATCCGTTAATTATCTCTTTCCATCAACCCACAAGCAAGAAGAAAGAATATTATGACAGGTGTTTTCTAAACTGTAAAAATTGTTAACTCGGACGGAAATGTTCTCTGGTGAGGATGAGAGGCTTGTTGAATTAATCAGTAGAAATGGCTCTATGTGTGACTTGGTGTTTGCACCAGACAGACTGCCACACCAGCCGTGGTGTAGAGAGACTGTTGATAGACGTCCCTCTGCTGGGGAATCAGATCGAATGAGGCCTCCCACTGGCAGGAGCTTGTTTTGTCTGGCTTGAATTACAACAACACTGCGCTGCCACCTCAGAGAAGAAAATGTCAAACATGACAAACACAGTGATAGGGATAATCAGCTGTCAATAGTACAACTCTGTCTGCAGTTCCGCTGGAATGCTTAAATAAAAATTGTAAATTCAGCAGCAAGCATGTTGGTCTACAACACATAAAGTAATTACAGTATATCCTTGGCAACATGCCTTCCTTATTATTTTATCTGTATTTGTTTCATACACACATAATGCCTCATTAAATAAAGGGGTGGAGGGCCCTATATTGCAGAAGAAAAGAAAACACATCAAATACCCTTCCTTCCTTTTTTGACACAACACTGCATGGATTAATTTCATCTAGGCAGGCTCAACATGTATTCAGAGCAACTGGAAGCATGGCTGCTTACATCTAAAATCCAGCCAGCAACCTAAAAACACACCCCCTTTCTTTTCTGCTTCTGCACCAGCGGCCACTGGCATTAAGTCTGACTCCACTGTGATTTGCCAAGCTCAACTGAGTTTGTTGAAAAGTGTTATGGTAACATAGGTCTCAGTAAGGGTGCTCATAGCAAGGAGTCTGCAACACGAAGCAGGATATTTCAGATCGCTCACATTACAATGTCATATGATTAGAGCCTGTCAGGGTTGTGTACTGCAAGCAAAGACGTTCCACTCCAACTAGCAACATGTGTTCCCTTGGGCATCCCTAAATACACCAGGAAACTAAAATCCATCTAGAAACTACAGCATGTAACACCTCATATCCAGACAAGTTTTTTTTAATTCATAATCCCATGATATGAATATGAGAAGAACATATTAACACAGCAACACACAAGTCAAATAGCACAAGATAACATTTTTACTGCATCAATTTGAAACAGAACAAGAGATGTTGCATCATTAAAGAAGTTGCTTTGTAGACCTTTTTGATTTTAAAATGTGCCTAAGCTTGTTGGCATATTTAGCATTTCCCCTCAGAGTTCTGAGAGGGAATTTATTTCATGTATGAGAAGCTTATCCCAACAAGTGACAAAAAAAATAAACATCTGAATTAGCAGTTCCACTTTCTGGCAAAAAAAGGTGACATTCAGCAGTAAACATGTTAATCTAATGTGTGCAACAAGATTTTAATATTGGTATTATCACAGTTAGTACCTGGTGTTATTAGCATGCAGCTGTTTGTCATTGTTTATTCATCTCATAATTTATTGTAATATTTGGGCAGAGAAAACTAATCTAAACAAAGGCCAAATAAATTAAGTCACATTTCTTATTAGGCAATTACTAATCACAGCCATTTGCAGCTGATCCAATGAATGTGAAATTGATAGAGTGGGTAAAATATGAAGCGAAATGAAATCTGGCAAGTCACACATCATGATGGAGAAAGAAGCCTGGGGCCAATAAGGAGACTGTCTGATGAACTGAGTATCATCTTGCTAATTAATTCAGAACATTACTGATTCATTACATTTGCATAAGTTTGTCGCATGTCTTGTTTTAACCTTGTTTGTGCTGATGTTGTAACTCCACAGACCATCTGCATCTTACTGACCTGTGTACCTAAGGTCATATAGACCTGTGTACACACAATGTGCTTAGGAGATACAGACAGATGACTGGTTTGTTGTGTCAGTGTATGAAATTAAGGCACACATTTTCAGTGCTAATTAAAATATTAGCCTATAGATTGTACAGTGTATAAAAAGCTTAGCCACCTCCCAAACAACATAAGATAGTACTGTATGTTAAACAATAAGTGTTGGCGGTATTGTTCATTTTTCTTATGGTCAACAAGTATTGTACCAGGAACAGACCAAAACCAAGGTGTGTTAATCCATCTCCAAGTGCCACTCTATCTGTAGAACTTCACAGTTCACAAATAAATAGAATTTTTGATTTTTTTTTACAGCATATCGAGCTCTGGAAAATTCTGATGGGTAATTTTCACTGCTTTCCAACATTTTCTAGAAAAAACTGATTTATTGATTAATCAAGCATATTATTAATATATTAAATAATAATGAAAATAATAATTTGCAACCCTAAAATGCTGTTGTTCAAAATGTTAGAGTGGGGGTCATGATAAGTAGCGGTAACTACTGTTGATGTCTCACTCTGGCATCTCAGACTGAGAACGCTTCACTCTTCAGTTCCGCACCACCTGAAAGGCAGTTCCCCACCTTAGCTTCAGTACTCAAGACTGCTGGTGTTAAGGAGCTAAATCTTACAGGCTGTTACTTTATTCTTTTAATAAAAACAGAAGTGATGGTCCTATTGTTGACCAGATGAGTTTCAGAACAGCAAAAATGAAATGCATTTTCTTGAACGTTTGTCATTCTCTTGGGATGGTGTTATGCAACAAATATTTTTTTTACTATTGTCACTGGCTTGTGATTCGGTCATATCTGTCATTTCCTCCAGGGGGTTAATACTGTAGCTGATATAGTTTATTAGCTTTTTACCTTTTGGGTAAAAATTGCTGCTGTAATAGAATTAAGTCAAGGTCACAGAAAACGAATGCTGCAAACTACATTTTTGTGTTTACTTCTTTGGCTTTGTGAACAATCACCCAGTGAGATTTCAGGTTTGAATGAAACGTAATTAAAATCTTTTTTGTGCTTTCAATCTGATCATTCACAGGGCAAGTAATGGCTGTATTTTCAAGGTTCAGTAATGGAAGTAGCACAAGCATCCTTCCAAGATCCCTGAAATGCAACTTCCTGGAGCCACAGTGCGGGGTGGATGGGGGGGTGTTTAAGTGTAAGCAAGGTCATACTATTGGGCTACACTAAAGTGTTTTCTCTCATCTGTGTGGAGATACACTGCTCTCAGCTGTAGGGTACAGGATGCCTTGACAACTGCAAGGACACTCCATATTTATTAAAGCTGAATAAAAGTGTTGACACAGTTATTCACGCATGGCAGCAAGTGTGTTTAAATCCAATATACAACTTGGTAAAGTTCAATAGAATTTTGTAATTAAACAATATAAATGGCTTTTCTGAATGTTTTCAGGAAATTGTACCATCTGTTCCTTGAATTTTAAAGCT